AGGGGGTAGCCCAGCTGCACCACCCCAAGGGGCCCCTGCCCTATGCTGCTCTTTAACCAGGCCCTGCTGGCCTCAGTCACTCCTGGGCATGACCTGGGAGCCCCCTATGGCAGGGATGTGAGCTACAGATGGGGAGTAGGGGCTTGTCCTGGGAAAATGCCTGGACACCTGCCTGTCTGCAGCTCCAGCTGCTGCCTCAGGGGGGTGCCAGGTGGCTATCATCAGCCAATACCCATTCTCAGCCGGGAAGCCCAGCTCCTGGGTGGTGGGAAGATCTGCAGAAGGGGGCTGAGGCCCTGGGGATGGTCCATCTCTCACAAGTCCTCATAACCAGTGGAGCCATCCTATGTAGGAGCAGAGCCACTTGCCCTGCCCATCACCTCTTGGCAAGCAGCTGGGGAGGCACGGTAGAAAAATAGCTCTTTAATTGGAAAAGGTTTTCACAGTAGAAAGACCTCATCACCCCTGCCTCCAGCAAGCCCTGGGACCTCTGTCCTTTCTGTCCCAGGCACCGCTCTTCACTCTGCTGTCTGATCCCTGCAGCAGCAAACCAGCAGGCACAGAGGCTGGGTCAGCTGCATCAGACCAGTCTGGCTGCAGGGCCTTTGGCTGTGCACTGGGATGAAGGCATGGGGGGCACACCCTGCTGTCACTTCTGGTACCCATGGGAAAATCAAGTCCTTTGGCCTTGCCTACGGGGCTTTGCACTGCCTGCATTGCAGGCCCTGTATTGCCATGAAAGCAAGCTCCTGTAAGCATGTACTGCCCTGCATCCTGAAGGAGCCCTGAGCCAAGCAGAGCCACATCTTCCAGCTAGTTCCATCTGGGGCCAGGCTCCTTCCAGCCCTGCCCCATGGTACTGGGCCACCCACCACTGGAGTAGGCTGGGGAGCCCCCTGCCTGTCATCCGTGCGGATGTGTGGCTGCAGCAGCCCCCATCTCCAGCAGGGCCTCTGCCTGCCCTGCCCTGGAGAGCAGGGCCCCACTCTGCCCATGGTATCTAACCATCAGCATGCAATCTTCTCACCAGCCCACTGAGGGGCTGGGGGGTTCTGGGGCTTTGCCCCAGCCACGGCTGCCCTCAGCACACGACTCCCTGGCCAGGTCGTGGAACAGGAACCTCAGCTTGCCCTGCACCAGCTGCCGGTATGCTAGGAATGCGGTGCTGGGGTGGCTCTGGGCCACGGTCCGTGGGGAGCAGCTGGGGCCCGCAGTGACCACCTGGCACAAGACAGAGCAGAGGGTTAGACAGTGGTTCCTGGTGCCCCAGGGGCCAGTAACCCTGGAGCCATCCCCTGAGCAGGGGTGGGGTGGGGCAGGAGCTCACCTGCCAGCTGAAAGTCTGCAGCAGCAGATGGAAGGAGCTGGTTTTGCGGTGGAGCTGCTCTAGCAGGGCACCCGCACACTCCAGCCCCACGTGGCTCTGTGCGACTGTCACAGCGTCTGCCAGCATTGCCAGGTCGCACAGGATCTCCTGCCGCTTGGTCTCATTCTGCAGGGGAGAGGGGGGCAGCATGTGAACCCAGCCCTGCAGGGACCAGGCTTGGGTATGTGCCAGAAGGGCCCTGCTCTCTCCAGTGGTCTGGGGGCCAGGGTTGGGCATGCCTGTGGCCAAACCAGCACTTGGGGAGGGCAATGCTGTGTGTTCAGGGCAGGCGCTGAGAGGCCAGGTTGCAGCTCCGGGTGCAGGGGCTGCATCAACCCTCGGTGCCTGCAGGCACGGGGATGGGTGAGCTGGTGGGGCTGGGAAGAGGGGCTGCACCGCAAGCAGCAGAGGGTCCAAGCCTTGCCCATCTGGCCAGCTCTCCACACAGGTCCTCGCTGGGCTGGGCTGGGCTGGGCTGGGCTGGGCTGGGCTGGGCTCCGTGGTGGGCCTGAAATGTTGGGGGGGAGCTCTGTCTATAGCGAAGGCTGCATTTTTTTGTGGGTGGGAGCTGGGGAACAATCCCCCAATACTTTGGGTCCTGGCACTTTCCCAGCATGCAGTGCACCAGGCGTGGGGTTACTCCGTAGAGGTAGGTCAAAGCTGCATGATGGCTTGG